ACTCCTTGTTGTTTTTGTAGATACAGACTAACACGGCTACCCCCTGATACTTGACACAGTCTTCTTGGTGACCCTTGGCCTAGTCATTCAACACCTCTGCCTCAATTTTACTCAACTGCAGAACAGAGGTAACACTTACCTACCTCACAAGGGTGCTGTGGTGATTAACTACGTTTTTAGTGTTTGTGAAGAACTCTGAGGTCTTCACGAGTTATATAAAATAAAAGGTATAATATGAATATAAATTAAATCTCTTTCCTACTGAGGATGTCAAAGATCTATTATGTTCAGAATTTGAACAACATTTTATTACAGTGGAACATGTTTATAGTGAAGTAATTTTTCTGCAGTTTGACTTCATTATAAGTGAAGTTTCATTTCAAATCGACTTATAGGGAGAAAGCTTACAGAGCTTACAAGATCAGCACAAGAAAAGCTACTGGAGGCTAGTAGCCTGCCGAGCTAATAACTTCAGTAGCTTTCCTCCTGAAAAGATAATAAGTAACGTAAGCTCTGCTTTCAGTGGCTTTTTCACTCCTGTTGATCTGCCTTCTTTGCAGGCTCCCATAACCTCATACTGGCAGCTATTTCTATACAAGTTTTTACCTCATTACTGAAAACAACTCTATCCCAAAGCACTGAGGAATATCAGAACTTCACTTTTTTTTTGTACAAGTAGAATTTCACTGATTTACCAATCATATATCCAATAGAAAAGTTCAAAAATTCACTAAGCATGTCAAATTTTGTTACAGAAACTTAAACACATGATGTAAATATTGGGCCAATAATTAATGAGAAATTTTTATCTGAAAATTACTGTTTTTCCCCCCCAAGATTTATCTGCAACGAATGCCATTCATTTCTCCCTGAGTGTACAAAGATTCGAAGAATGAACCTTTTTTCTGTAATACAAAAGCATACATTTATTGTATTAAACCACAAATGCTTTAGTCTCTAAAAGAAATTTCTGAACAATTTAATATTTTTTCCACTATTGTATGAGAGAACAATGATACTGTATTATCAGAAGGTTATTTACCTCCCTGTACTCCTTCAGAGCAACTGCAGGATGAATATTTCCAGCAAAGGTCTCATTATCAGTGAACACAATAAAGACATCAGCAGCTGTGTGTGTTTTTTGAGCCCATATCATTGGAAGAGAACAATCAGTGCCACCCATTGGAATCTAAAAATACATAAGAATATTATTAAGAACTGTATAGGACTCTTCACCATAAAATTCTGGAAGTATTACAGTGATATCTTATAAATATTATCCTTTCATATTAACAGCTACGATTAACTATCCAACACCAATGTGGCCCTGAATTGGATAATACAAAGGAGGACATGAGAAAGTTAACAGCTTTCCTACTTATATCTAAAATGTAGCATTCAATGGGTTACTCTTTCTTTGACATTAATTGCATTAGAAACATTGAACATAAAATGTATCAAAGTATATTTAAAAACAATTATGTTTATTTATAGTGCTGATTGAAAATATTTCAGTGATACAGTGTTTTGTTAGAAAATGCAGATTTATCAACTTGAAGTGTTTTGTTGAAAAATATTGGGTTTGAGGAACTTTTGATGAATTAAGGGTAGCATTCCAACAGTGAAACTAACCAGAATCATGTCAAGTTTAGTCAGTAGCTACTGGGTCCCAATAGCATATTTCCTCTTGGAATCACAATGTGTTGTTTCCAAAACAAATTTTTTTTTCCAGAATTTTCAGTTTGTGAGAAATTTCTAAAAATTGGGTTTCATTGCTACCCGAAATGAAACCAAATTTCAAAATACTGAAATTTCTATATAAAAATTTCAAATGTCAAAATATTGAAAGTTCCCACAAACTGGAAATTTCAAGTTTCAGCCAGCTCTAGATATTTAGAAAGTAGTCAAAAAGAGTTTGTGAGCAATTATGGATAAACTGAATGTAAATTTCTCTGAGGATGGTTCTTTTTTTTTTGGGGGTGGGGGGGGAACCTTAACCAAAATGATAAGGGACTCAAGTATAGCTTACAAGCAACTCAATACATTGAATTTAGCTTTAAAAAACTATGTTTAACTTGAGTGGGTTTGAGATGGATGTAGAGGAAATATGATACCTTAAGAATATGAAACACAGTCTTTACCCTTCAACAAAATTGATCAGTGCCAACAAAACTGAAAACATACAGAAAAATAAGGAGTAGCAACATAAAGGGAAAATTAATAAGTTTAGTAATTAAGAAAAGTCTTTCTGATGGCAGACAGACAGTGAAGTTTTTTTCCTTACAACTTAGTTATGACGACTAACTCAGCAGGCCCCATCCTGCAATGCAACATGCATGTCCACTGAAATCAGTGGAGTTCCAAATGGGTGCACAAGTCTACCTGTGCTCATCAAATTGTAGGACTGGACCCTGGATTTTGGCCTTTTTTACCCAATACTGTAATTGGAGGCTAACCTAACCACTGATGTCAACTGGAGTCTTATCCAACTGCAATGGGCTTTGGATAAGTCACCAGAGGAGTTTATTTCCCAGAAATTGATAAATTTTATGGCACGTGCTGTTGTAAAGCACAAGTTAACAGCACTGAAAAATATGAATTAGAACATTGCAGTGACTATGCAGAATTGAAGATATAAAGATGACTGTTTATACTGTTGCTTTGAAAATGTAAAGTACTTTATGTACTATATGCAGAAGCTTTTTTGGTAATATTATAAAAAAAATTACACCATTTTGCCTTACAGAATTTATTGTTCTCATCCATTTTTTTAAGTTTATGAGATTATGTGCCAATACCACTTCTCTAAAATGAAGTGTATAACTATTCAGATAGTAAAGTAATATGATTTACTTGACATAGCTTTTCAGTTTTTCTTCATATATTAAGAAAAGTATTTTACTAAAATGTAGAATACATTTACTACTAGGATTAATTAGAAAGCACAAATTAGAATGCAAATACTAAATCACTCAAATTATGTCTTAATTTTTGGCAATAGATTTATCAGAATTATACAGTAACTACAGTACAACAAAGTGTTCACATACTTCAGACATTTTCAGTAATACTTGAGGTAATGTCATGTCTTTTGTCACTGGACAGGGGACCATTTCATGCGAAAAGGCAACAATATTGGAATCTTTCTCTGTGCGTGCAACAACCTGGGAGAAAAATAAGGTTTTGGGGAATTAGGTCAAGTATTTTAATTATATCACTTTGTAATTATCTGCAGATTGTTTGTTTTGTGATAATTCAACATATTTTCTACTAAAAACACAAAGCACCAAATTAAAATAATACAGATATGACTGACCCCCAAAAAAGTGAAGTTAATGTTTCAACTCTACCCTTAATTTGCACTGATATCCTAGAGTGCCTAAATATTGCAGCAATCCAAGATGAACTAATGGACCTAATCACTATAACAAACAAACAAAAAAACAAACAAACCAAACCAAAAAAAGACACCTTAATTTTTAGTTTCTAGTTACAAAGTTAGAATTTTTTCTGTTCTCTCTCTCTTTCCTTTCTGTTATAGGAAACAGACTACATTTTGAACATGGTACATTTCTATTTTTCTATATTCCTGAAATTTAAAAAAGCACAAGAAATTTCATTTTAAAGTTTAAGTTTTAAAAACAAATTGACTACTATTTGAAAAGTGCACTGGAGTATTTTTCTATATTACATATCTCCAGCAAAGTAATTGTAAAACCTAAAAAGGAAAAAAAGTATGTATTTTCCTCACAATTTAAAATATTATCATCCTTTCTAAATTAACATTCCATATGTGTGAATACATTCCTCAAAGCATGGCTTGATGAGATGGATTCATGGGAAAATATTTTCCCAAATCACTTTCAATTCAGTCTGCATTGTGCTGCAAGGAAAGTGATTTTAAGACAAAAGCAGCCTGAAGATTCCTCTAATATATGCTGGGTACCAGCCTAGGTATTTAGGCTGCTCTTATTGATTCTGGTTACCAACCGTCTTCAGGGGCCTTTCTAGCAACCATGCATAAGGGTGTCCTGGCCATATCTTCTATGCCAGAAGCCAGGAGGGGGTTGGCACAGAAGCTACTTTTGGTGGCCCTATGCCACTCACAGATTTCCACCATGCTTAAGGAATCCTCTAGTGGCATCTTGAAGACATCTTTGTGCCAGAAGAGCAGTACAATACTGACTCGCTGTTCTAAATAATCAAGCCTAAAGAATTCTGGATGGCTACAAGAAGAGATCCATTTCTTACCATACACATTGCTGCAGCAACTGTACTAGCATTGAGCACACTGCCCAAAACTCTTTGTGTCATGGAAGCACTGACATCAACTGCAAGCAAGAAACGCTTCCCTGTTGGTTCCACTGTCTAAACAATGACAGAAAAAAACATATATATAAAAATCTCAAAATACGGATTTATTTTCAACTCTCCCCCTCTCTCCCTTTTCTATTCCAGGAGAGTATATTTTAAAGCAGCTAAACAAATCAAGTGAATGCCCCTTCTCTTTTGACACAATATTAAAATTACTAAACCTTTGCTACAAAAATTCAATACTATGTTACATGTTACATTTACATAATGCCTCTCATGCAAAAGATTTCTAAAATGATTTGCAGAACCTTTTATAAAAATAGATAACTTTATCTCGCTCTGAAATACAGAGCCAATCCTACACAAGTAAAAACTACACAATAAATTTTAAGAGGAAAAGAGCAACTTGAGCTGTTCAAAGTAAATGGGAATTTAGCTTAACAGGAGGAAGTTACCCATGTTTAAATCTTGCCAAAAAGGAGATTAAATAATAACCCTGGCTCTGGTGAAAAATGTCTTGAAATCTTCATTGATGACACATGGTCAGGACCCCCATTTTTCATTTTATTTGAGAGTGCCCATGGAATCATGCTGAGGTATTGATCCATTACAGAAATTTGTCAGAAAAGTACCTCCCTCTAAATCACCAAATCCACATAAGGTTCTCTCAAGAAACAAATGAAACTAACCATACAACCAGCTGCTGAATTCCATTTAGCCAAACAATTATTTAGGTATTGTTTAAATGCAAAAGTACTATGACTTCAAAATATTAGTGACAGAACTTACAACGCAATGTAACCTTTTAAGAATTACACCCAGCTTACTTCAACATTTACCAGCATTTTTTTCCATGAACAGATTAGTAACTAGTGTAATTATAGAACTAATTAACTGGTGCATAATATCTGAAAGTCAATGGACATAAAAATGTGGCAATAAAATGCAGTCTTGACTTCATAATATTCTGTTTCCAGGAAAGGCCCTGACACCCAAGGGAAAAACCAACCAACCAAAACCAAAAACTAACTAGGTAACCGAGTGTTTTGGTTAACTCAAAGTTATCTCTTTCTAGCTTAGCTTCATTGTTCATATATTCCTCAACTGAAACTGTTGGTTATCTGAAAACATTATCATACTGTGTTTTACAAAATGGAATGCTATCAGATGATGAAAGAACTTTATTACGTAATAATTTGATAACATGATTTAGTAATATATTTTTATTTTGTGCCAATGCTTTTGAACAAAGATGGATAGCTACAAAAGTTAAAAGGACCCTACAGTTTAAGGTGCCTAAATAAATGTGGGGAAAATTCAATTATGGGGAGAATACTTCTCCCCTAAACACTTCAGATATTAATCATGCTTATCACAAAGGCACATTTATATCACAGATCATAAAGTTATTTAAAGCTGACTGCACCTCATGATAAGACATGGCTAACAAAATGACAGCAAAAAATCTGCCTCTCAATTTAAAATAAACAACCTCCCACACAACATTAAGCTATGCTTAAACAAAAAACAAAACCACCACCCATTTTGGGCCATCTAAGTTAAAAAAATCCACTAACAATGCACTGGATAGCTGGAAACAGATCCACTTGCACTATAAGAAAAAGAATTAAGGCAGGAGGCAAAATGTCCTTTAATAGTCTTGATGTAATGGGATCAGCACCCACCTCTCGCAAGTGCCCCTTTCTGGTTGGGGTGTCTGCGTTCCTTCAGTTTTGGTGACCCCTTTCAGGGTTCTTAGGTAGTTTTCCAGTGACGCAGCCCTCTCACCGAGTCTCACACACTAACTGCATGTGAACCAGAATGAACCCCTTCCGGGGTATCTCAATACCCCACTGGTGGTGTTTCTCTAGCCCTCTCTGGGCTCAGTCTTTAAGTAATCCCAGCCCTGATGTGGGACCATATCCCCAGGGCTTCTTCCCTGGATCTTCCTGCAGCCCTCCAGAGGTTCACTCTCTACTCAGTAGCAGCCCTGGCCCCTGCTAGCAAACTGTCTTTGGCTCAGTCTTAGCAGCCAGCCAGAAGCCTCTCACTCCCCTGGTCCCTGCCAGCAAACTGTCTGTGGTCCTGCTGCTTTTCCCGCCAGGCATGCAGTCCTTTCTTCTCCAGCACCAAGTACCAACTAACTATTGCTTTGTTCTACAGTTCCTTTTTTATGGCCCTTCTGGCTCTTGATTGGCTATTCCAGCAGCCTCTCTGATTGGCTGTTTCCTCGCAACCACTCTAGGCCTCTTGGAGGACCTCTCCACTGCTCCTTTCCAGGAATGGGTATGGCAGAATCCTGAGGCCTCCAGCAGGGGGCCTTTGGGCCTAGTCCACCCCATCATACTTGGAGAGAATTTTAGGACCAATCTCAGTAAGTAAGAATACTTGTGTATCTTATTGCTAACTCTGCTTTAAAACACTCCAGATATTTGCAAAGCCAGGCTTATGACTTCTCTAGCAGGGAATATGATAGTTAAACAGACCATTACCTTGAATGTTTTGTAAAAAGAGACATCAAGAGCTTCTAAAATGTCTTTATCAGGAAGCCACCGAAGTTTTCCCCGGTTTCCATGTCCTGCTTTGTAGGTTTCTAATGCAACCAAAACATGGAATGGATGTATTCGAGCCTATAAACAAAACATGCTTTAAAAATACATTTAAAGTACAAAGTTCAATTATTGCAGAAAATATTAACTACAATTGCATTCTCTCTCTACAGCTGCAATTATCTGCCTTATTTTATTGTTTCTTCAAATTTTTAAAATACAATTATAGGCACTCTCTGTACACTTATTTCCTAAATTAAAACAACAAAATAGAAACAAATGTGGCTATGCACAAATATATCCACTTTAGTCCTCACATCCCTTAAAACAACATACTTAAAGAGAGAAAAAAAGGTTATGGGGCTGCTTGCACCTCTGTCCCCTTTCTGGTCTCCTCAGCTGTTTGGCCTCATACCTTTACTTGACTCAGGGTGGAACTTTGCAATTCTCCCACTCTTAGACCTGGACACAATTACCCTTCAAAAACCAGTGATATGCAGTGACCAACAACCTTCTTAAAAATAAAAGTATTTTTTATTTAGCAGTAGGAACAAAGCTTTAGAGAAAAATGATTTTAAAACGAACAGTCTACACACATGTCCATCTTAACTAAATTCCCACCATTTCACGATGGCGACCTATGTAAGCCTAGCTTCTCCAGACACCCCAGCAGGTTCCTGTGTCTGAAGCTAGTTTAAGTCTGGTTACTTGCTTAAGTCTCCTTTTTAAAACAGTCCTTTTTAAAACCTTCTAGAGTTCTTTGTTCTCCTGTGCCTGAAAAGTCTGAGCCATAACCAGTTTCACAGGCTGGCCATAGGCCAGAGACAGAATAATTAAGTCCAATAGTTTTGGCATTGTCCCTTACCAACTCTTAAGTGTTTGCTGATAAATGGCTATATTAAGCGATTCTTCTCCTTCTGACCTATATTGCAGACTACCCAATTGAGTTAAACCAATTTTGTCATACAGCAAACACTATCCCAACAACAAGGCCAATACAGAACGTAACTTATTACAGGGCACCCCCAGAAATTTCACAATGAGCTTTACAGTATGCCCTAAGGTTAACAAGTTTGGGCTCTGGCAAACAAGGGAGGAGGGTGAAGCAACTTAAAAAAAATTCAAATTACCACAGAAATTTTTTTCCCAGTAGCTCTCTCTCATTTATATTGAGAGAACTCTAGATCCACTGCCTCTGCTAATCTCAACTGTGGCAGTATACCATGGCATGAATCACTCAGCTAATCAGGTACCCATACATTTAAGGCTTTATAGTTATCAACTCTTTGAATTCCACCCAGAAGCTTACTGGAATCAGTGCAGATCATACAGCACTGGTCTAAAGTGCTCCCAAAGTGCAACTCCACTTAATAAGCAGACTGCAGCATTCACACTACCTTCAGCTTCCAAACAGTCCTAATGTGTACCCTGTGCACAGTGCATTGCAGCAGTCTAATCTTGAGAGTTAACAAAAGCATGGATAATTGTGTCACCAAGGTCCTCTCTCTCACAAAACATACATAAAATTGCACTCTTTTGATCAGGCACAGATGGAAAATCTCCACTAATGGACCCAGGCGCATCCCAGAATCTAACAATACCATCATAGTGTGCACCTGTTTTACAAACTGCAGTGACACTCCCTCTGTGAGGGGCCCACCAACATAAACTCAATTGTCTCTGGATTGCTTTGCAGCCACCTAGCTTTCATCCATGCCCTAAGTTCATCAAGGCATTAGGCAAGTTGTTCCATTTCTCCAGCTAGGTCAGATGCAATGAAGATGTAGAGCTGTGTGTCATCAACCTACTGACTGAATTGCAGCCTATGTCTCTTCACTAACCCTCCTAGCGATCATATACACTTAATCAAAGAAGTGACAATATCAAGCCCTGCAGCACCCTACATGAGTGCTTGGGACAGAGCTGAAGCTGCCCATAAACGCCTTTTGAATTTGTTTTGAAAGAACAGAATCAAATAGCAGCAGCTCCACCCATCCAAACTTGTTCGCAAACAAGTCAACAAAAATCTCATGGTCAACTGAATGGCAGATCTAAAAAAAAAAAAAAAATACAACAGGCATACTTTTAGACCAATCTAGTATAAGATGAAAACATCAACAACAACAAAAAACAAACAAACAAAAAAAAACACCTACAGGGCGGCCAGAGCGGCAGAGCAAAATAAAAAACCCGTGCAGGGCGGCCAGAGCGCGGGTGCTGGGGGACTCCCGGCACTGCAGACGTGCCCTGGGCAGCAGGGGGAAGAGGGAGGGAGTGGGGGGAGAGAGAGAAGGGGGGCGGCCAGGGCTTCCTTCAGCGGGGCGCTCGCCACTCAGCCCCTCCTGCCGCGCCGCCTTCTGGGAGGGCTCCGCGCTTCTCCGGTCAGCGGGCAGGGAAGGACGCGGGCTGCCCTGCCGGGCTTGCTACAGACCTGGCACCAGCTGGGGCAGATGGAGCGCGCAGCCTGCTCCCAGCAGGGCGCTCCCCTCCTCCACGTCGCTGCCCCCTACAGGGCGGCCGAAGCGGCGAAGCAAAAAAATAAATAAAAGGATTTGAGGGAATCTGCCGCCCCAAGCACGAGCTTGCTTGGCTGGTGCCTGGAGCCGGCCCTGCTGGGAATCTTCTAGCTTGGAAGATTTGAGGGACAGAATACAACCCTGTTAAGCATTCTCCATCTTAATAACTGAAAGAGATTTCTTTTAAGTTGATCTACTGTAGCACTTAGATAGGGTTTCATCTCAGAGCTAAGTGAAAAAAAGAAATCCTTTTTCAAAATAGAAAAATTGTCATTTTTATGTATTAAATATGAAAGTACGCTGCCAAATTCAGTTATTTGAAACTGACTTTTTTTGAAAAGTACTATGTTAGCCTATTGGAGTGGTCCCCAAACTTTTCAGGGTCATTCCCCTCCTTGTCCATGTCCATACCCACGCCTCCTGAAGCAACATTCAGGCTATGCGGACAGGGGTAAGGGGGCTGAGGCTGGGATCACAGCTGGGGGTAGGGTTGGGAGCAGAGCTGCGGCTGGGTTGCGGTACAGGCTGGCAGCTGGGTCTGTGGCTGGGTGTGGAGCTGTGGCTGAGGGCCAAGGCTGAGGATGGGAGCAGGGGCCATGGCTGGGGACAGGGCCGGAGCAAAGCTGGGGCCAAAGCAGGGCTGGGTGGCGCTCCCTCCCTGTCCCCTGTGGGGGCTGGCCTGGGCCCCGATGTGCCTGCCTGAATGTTCCTCTGTGTCCCCCTAGGGGTTACGCCCCACAGTTTGGGGACCAACCAGTCTATTGTCTCTTACGTATTTTAGCCACTATTTTTTATTTTGCTTTACTAATTTATTTTTTCCCTCATTTTGTTCTCCTTTAGTGGTGTTTATGTAGCTTGCTTGTGCCAGCAGGAAAATGTGAAGGTCCTAAACATGTACACACCTTCTCCCCTCTTTCATAATAGCGCCTCCCCTCTTTTGGTCACTCCTTTCCCTGCCAGTTCTGATGCTATAAGCTTTTTGGAGGGATCTAGGAAAGAGGAGACCTTTTCTTCTGACAGGCTTCTGCTCTTCTGTGGGCCTCTTGGAGAGGATCCTGGAAAATGAAGATTCCTTGACTGCAGTCTTCTCTGCATCATCCCCAGTCCATGGAAGGCCCAGGGAAGGAGCCACATCCTGAAGTCCAAGTGTCTCATCCATCACTGTCGCAAGGACCAACCCACTTTCTTCCTTCATTTTCTCAGCAAGTGCCTCAAAAGGCTCCAATAGTAAGGGGGGGTGGGGGGAAGAGTGTGTCTCCCCCACTTATCATGCTTTGTCTTCCTGTCTTGGCTCTATGCACTTCTCCTCCACTTGCTTTCCTAGTTTCGTCAGGGATTCTTAGGAGTGAGGAGATACCCTCACAACCTCACTCCTGCTCCTTCTCCTTGTGCAGAGGCCTGAAAATGGAACGCATACCAGGCTGCTCTTCCACTCCATTCCCAGGCTTCTGCTAGACTTTTCCATTAACAATATTAAAATTTCAGAAATTCATAAATGTAAAGTATTTCTAATTATATATTTCAAAGTCTGAAATAGCAACTGCTGCACTTTTACCCCACTATTGGAGTAGTTTCAGAAGACCACGTTCAATTGATTACTAAAGCAGTACATAAGAATGCTTAAGTTATAACATTCATGCATGAGACCAGCAAATGAAATTCTCCATGGCTCCAACTCAGGAAAACACTTAAGCATGTACTTAACTTTAAGTATTTGACTAAGTGCTTTCCTGAATCCAGGTTCATAAGCAAAGTGAAGTCAACTGCAGAATAGTAAAAAAATAACAACTTTCACATAAAAAGGTTATCTTTGATTAGCAATTATTATATGTAATTGGATCTATGTCAAAACATACCTAAACATTTCCCATCAATACATACACTTCTGAAGTTTTTAAGAAATGCAATTTAGGAAGACAATCATACCAGAAGTAAAAGCACCGAGTAGTGAAAACAGTTCTTACCTTTTTTAACAGTTTCTCATTTCTCAGTCTTTCACACACTATTGCTACTTCTGGGCTTGCTGGTTCAAGTACTGAATTTGCAGTCATCTTTCCTAGATTCCTCAACATTGCTGTAATGGGCATCTCCTGCAACAATGCCTTCCACACCTGTTACAGTAGTATACGGAAGAGGGGTGGAGGGGGGAGACAACATTTTAATTTGATGAGAGGCTCTGTCTGGTGTATACACAAAACATCAAGCAAAATATGCAAACAATGTATTTTAAAATGTCAGAATTATACAGAGAGCTTCATCATGTTAAATTAACTACTTATTAATTTTTTTAAAAAAGCTTTAAGAGTTCCATTTGGATAAAAATATATTTTCAGCAATCCCAAATTGTCAAGGTAAACAAGACAACAAATTTTAAAAGGGCACTAGTTATTTGTTGCAAGATGTTAATATTTACATACACATACCCACCTCTTTAGATTTCAAATGGTTTGTTTGGAGATGCTCCCTAACTAACCTATACTCTTCTATCAAATGAATAACTTCCAATTCATCTTTCGTACGTTTCACTTTCTCCACAGCCTCCAGATATTTTAACAATTTTTCAGTCTCAGAAGAAAATTCCTTGTCTTTATATGCCTCTTGGACTTCCTTCCACCCCTTGGTGATATACTTAGTAACTACAGCGAGTCCTATTGAAAGACAAAAATATTTTCCATTCAGGATTATGATCCAGATACCAGAGAGTTTAGTAAGTCTAGCAGGAGAGTTGGTTAGAAGGATGCTTTTAACTATGGTTTCATTCCCAGAACTGCTAGTCAGCTATCAATAGAGTGGGTCTAAGTTAGAACACTACAGTCAAATACATTAGGATGCACAATTCAGAATACTTTCCAAGATTTATTTTATTTACTGTATCATCTCCCTTTGGAAGGATGAAACTTAATACAAGTCGTCTTCTTTACAATGTTTTGTCCCCTACTTTACTCCACAGCAAGCACAGTGTTGTGAAAAATAAGGGGATAAAACTAGTGAGAACATACAATGAAAAGATGACTGTCAATCTGCTATGTATAAATATTTCAGTTACCCCAACACGCTACAAAGCATTAAAGCATTTTGAAGTAATCTGCATTTTTTAACATATAAAAATAAATTATATTTGAGGAGAAACAAAACGGTGACCAAAGGTCAAAAATAATGAGGAAACAACAGATCTGGTTGAATAATGAAAAAATAAATGTACTTGCCAACTGATAGGGAAAAAAAATCAACTAAATGATTTGTAAGAATTATTCAGCCATCTCTTGACAGCAGTCACAAAAAATAATGAAAGACCACATTTATTCTTAAAGAGTCAAGATAAACAGACCATATTTTCTAGCTATCAGCTTCTGTTTTATTTCTAAAGTTTAACCTGAAGGATACATGGATGCTGAGAGACCACTATTCCATCAAGACCTTTAGACTTCCAGGACAGACATAGGCTAGAAATGATAGGCTTAATGTAGTATCTGAGATAGCATATTTTCTTAACTAATCCAGTCTCAAGGTCAATTAATCATTACTGTTACCTTCACTGGCAGGTTTTAGGTGGGACAACCTCAGTAGATCTTTATGAGACCAACCATTTCTTTGTTTATATTTTGTAACTGCTAAAGCAACCGCCAGGCCATTCTTTCCATTGTACCAGTCTGCAACAGCTTTTCTCAGGGCACGGCCCCACATGCCACACTTCATGCCCTCCTTCAGATCCTTTTTAAACTGGATGAAAGTAAACAGATGAGTTGGTATGCGGCAGACTTCAGAAACAGCCTTAAATGCTGCTTGTTTTGTTTTTGCATCAGAGCACTGTGAACAAATTGCAAGAGCAAAAAGCATGGGCTCCTGTTTTGCTGCCCTGCCTTCCTGGCTGAATGTCTTTATTTCCTGTACCACATCACAACCTTTACCATCTTCAATCAGTCTTATTAAAACTTCAGCATTTTCAAAGCCCAGTTTCTGCTCCTTGATGTAGTATGTACCACCTTCTGAACCAAAACATAAGAAACGGTGGAGTCGATTTATATCGGTGACCTGCCATACATATCCACCTTCAGAGTTCGGCACCTGCTTGTCATTCAAGGGCTGCATTTGATTTGCGTCTTCATCCATTGCTTAGAGTTTCAGGAAGCCTGTTAAAAAAGAGAGTACAACTTTACTACAAATAAACGTTGAACTATGTTGGATTTTTTGGCTCGTAACATTTCCTCCTTTTACATCTGTAGCTAAATGAGTACATCATATCTGTAATGCCTGCTCCCCTTGCCTCTTCTAGATTTATATTAAACATACTCCAGAACAGCAATAACATAGTCCAGTAAATGCTTAAGTTACTAAAGAGCATCTTCAAAGAATATATTTAAAAATTGGGTTTATGCCCTTTTTGGCTTTGTTATAACATATAAATAAATTGTGAAAAGGGTTTGCTTTAAGCAGGGATATCAAGTTTGGTTTTAATTTTCCCTGAATTTTCTGGTGGTCTCAAAGCATTTTTATTGTTAGCTCTAACAGCTTAATTGAAGGGGTAGAGGTACTCAATATTTAAATACATCCTTTATCCAAAATGTTAGTCACTGAAGTTAAGCAAGTGTTGATTAAAAAAAAAAAGAAGTCATAAGTAGTCGAACTAAAAATCTTTTTCTGAGTGATATGTAGTTCTCCAGGCAGGTAAGTCTTCCAGGGCAGTTAGGTCCTGAATTTCTGTGGGACAGATTGTACCCAAGACTAGCAAAATGATACTAAACTTTATGAAGGGGAATTTTTTAAATTCAAGCTAATTAGGAAGAGCTTTAATCCCAAAGTTGAAAACGTAAATTCCTTAGAACCAGCATACAGGCTAGTTAAAGGTGACCTGCCAAGGGAAGGATGGTGTTTGTGCTCTGTCTAATGTTATAAAAATTATAAAGATTTTTTTTTAAATTAAAATTTATCAGATCTTGTCCCTCCCATTTTTTGCTGGAGGGCTGGATGACAACACTGCATTCGATAAAGGTAAAAAACCTGAGCAACTCAGAATGCAAGAGAGTCCTAGACTTAAAAACAAAAACAAAAAAACTTTGTATTTTGTTTGTTTTGGTTATCATCTATTTAAATGAAACACCTGACAAATAACAAAGAAAAATGCCATCGTTAATAAAGATTCAAACACACTTGTCCTTTCAAATGAGAACTGAGAAAGCTCACAAGCAAAGAGAGAAAGAGAAACAAAATACATCCCAAACCTTTCAGGTCTTGTTTACACACTGCTAGACAGAGAACTAACATAATATCATCTGTAGGCATACCATATTTTATTCCTATCCAAAATAAGACGCAAGGCCACAAAATTTATATGGTTAAAAGGTAAAAAGTTATTTTTTGAGAAGTAAAAATCCAGTTGTAGTGTAACCAAAAGAAAGAATCATACATCATAACAAATGAAACATAAGCTGGAAATTAGAAGGCCTAAGAGGAAATTTGAAGATATAGACCTTGCATGTTTTTATGTCTTGGGCTACTAAGTATCAGAAAGAACAATCCTTTGAGTGTCAGATGATCTTCTAGATTACTAGGGAGTAAAAGGAGCAACAGAAAAGAATAAGTACATTAGCTTTTTGCAAAGTACTTTGCTGCATCAATTTTAAGTACAGAAGATCACAAACCTATTCTTTTAGGAGAAAAAAAGATGAGGCACTGTCACATCCTGATCATGACTAGCTCACACATTTTTACAGGTGTTAAACTGTATTACTGTTTAAAAGCATTTTAATTAAAAACATAATCAACATTTTTATTTATTAATTCTATTCCTACTTTGGATACAGACATCTCACAGATTGAAGCGAGTCAGTATTCTACCCCCTACATGTGATGAGATATACACACCCTATCCAGGAATTACAAGGGAAAGAATTAAACATTAGTTGTCTCATTGTATCTCTACTCGGCTAGTATTTTTTTTTTTTTTTTTTTGTAAGCAGTGAGGTGCCAGCAACTGGATTCGGAATGCTAATTTTATTCATCTTATATTTTCAAATAAAATTTCCAAGTATTTCTCACTGTGAGTTTTCAAAGCAAGTACGTGCAACTTTCTTTTAAAGGTTTCAAAGGCTCTCCGTTCAAAAACTGCTTGCAGCCAAACTCTAATTTTAAAACACACACTGATTCTGAGACATGCCAGATACCCTGAAAATAACAAGTGTTAGCTAAAAGGGGTGCATTTAAGGTATATATGCAACAAAAAGTATTTTGATATCTGAAACACGATATTCCAACATGTATGAAGTCGTATGCTTTGCCAAATTGCAGCTATAGTTACATCATACTTTCAAAATTAATCTTTAAAGTCAAGTGTTACACAAGAGATTAATTTAGTCAATTAACTAACTACAAAGATTTTCTTCCATATGTAGAAAAATGTTGGTATAGAACACTAACCTGAACATCTCAGTAATAATACAAGTGGGATGTGCAATACAAGTGTGATTGTGACTCTCAGGAATCAGAATCCTGTGTGTGAAATCTATGGAGTGATTTTACCCTGTAAGTACCTGCACTTCTGTAATTCTGTACAGTGACAGGTTGGACCCCTTGGGAAGCCACCTTATGTGCTGAGATACCACTGAGTCTACCTGTTCTGCAGCATAGGCCCCCTTGAACTTGTCTTGCTGAGCCAGGCTATTAAAGCCTTCTCTAACACACACAAAGACAGGGCCACACCTAGCTGCACATCAGCTCTGGGAAGACTCGGTTTAAGGGACTTGCTCCAGCACTCAGATGTCCACCTCCTTTGGAGTGCAGACCTATAGCTATATTATGAAATTTGCCCCGTCCCTCAATGTGGAGAGAGGTGTGCACGCTTCTTGCCCCTCCCAGTTAGAAATTACAGAAACTGGGTTTAATAATAAACAAAACAAATTTGATTAACTATAAAAAGCAGATTTTAAGTGGTAACAGGGGTAACCAACACAACAAAGCAGATTACTAAGCAAATGAAATCAAACACATAAACTAAGCTAGTTTCACCAAATAAATTGGTTATAAATAGTATTTTTCACCCTAGATATTGTTGCAGGCAGGTTGCAAAGTTTCTGTGGTTCAGAGTTCCAATTATATTCCTTTTCAGACTGGACCCCCGTGTCAGTCAGGACTCCACACTCCACCTTCCCTTCAGGTGGCCTTTGCAGATTTTCTTCTTGGGCAGGTTTCAGAGGGATAGCCGTGTTAGTCTGTATCAGCAAAGACAACGAGGAGTCCTTGTGGCACCTTGGAGACTAACAAATTTATTTAGGCATAAGCTTTTGTGGGCTAAAACCCACTTCATTTTTCACTCCATGCATCTGATGAAGTGGGTTTTAGCCCACGAAAGCTTATGCCCAAATAAATTTGTTAGTCTCTAAGGTGCCACAAGGACTCCTCGTTTCTTCTTGGGCAGACAGCCATGGAGAGGAGGATTCCTGTTTGCCTTCTTCCTCATGCTTAAACAGGATTTACATAAGGCAGGCATGCTTTGTTTCCCAACTTTGAACCCCCTTCCCTTCAGTGGAACGTTACAAGACACCCCAGGTAATGTTTTAGTATCAGGTGACAAGACCACCTGACCCTGTAATATCACAGCATCCATGAGTCAGTGGCAGTATGGAGTGTCCACAGGAAGGCCAAGCTTTTCACAGTCCATTGTCCTCGCTGATGGGCCATCCGCTCTGTCTGGCTTTTCCATTGTTGTACCTGAAGTGTTAGCAGTGGGCATCACCCAGAGTAGCATAGTTGAAATACAGATACATAGTCAATATTTCTTACTTCAGATACAGAAATGATACAGGCATACAAATTGGATAATCGCATTCAGTAAATCATAACCTTTCCAATGATATCTCACAAGGCCCATCTTGCATAAAGTATACCTCAGTTATGTCATATTCATAGCATAAGCATATTTTCATAAGGAATATGGACATATGTGGCCCTCCCAGTGTGTGTATTAGAGGAAGCTTTAATAGCCTGACTCAGCAAGACAGGTTTGTGACGGGTTGGATCACAGAAACCTCTTTGGGACTGCCACCTGATATGCTGAGACTACCTCTGAGCCCATTTTCCCTGGCAGCTTGGGACCCTGCCTGGTTGTGCTAGACACACTAGCCTGCTACAAACACAGACCAGGGTCTGAACCACATCCCCCCCAAGCTGCAGGCTTAACTGAAAACAGCTTAAGAAGTGTTCCTGTCTCCAACACTCAGCTCCCAATGGGATCCAAATAAATCCATTTTACCCTGTATAAAGCTTACACAGGGTAAACTCATAAATTGTTCGCCCTCTATAACACTGATAGAGAGGTATGCACATCTGTCCTCCCCCTCCTCCCCAGGTATTAATGCATACTCTGGGTTAATTAATAAGTAAAAAGTGATTTTATTAAATACAAAAAGTAGGATTTAAGTGGTTCCAAGTAATAACAGACAGAACAAAGTGAATTACTGAGCAAAATAAAATAAAATATGCAACTCTAAGCCTAATATACAGTAAGAAAGCTGAATACAGGTAAAATCTCACACTCAGAAATGTTTCAATACGCTTCTTTTACAGATTGGACACCTTCCTAGTCCGGGCCCAATCCTTTCCCCTGGTACAGTCCTTGTTCCAGCTCAGGTGATAGCTAGGGGATTTCTCATGACTGCAGCCCCCTTTGTTCTGTTCCACCCCCTTATATATCTTTTGCACAAGGCGGGAATCCTTTGTCCCTCTCTGGGTTCCCACGCCTCCTTCTAAATGGAAAAGTAGGGGGAGGGATAGCTCAGTGGTTTGAGCATCGGCCTGCTAAACCCAGGGTTGTGAGTTCAATCCTTGAGGGGGCCACTTAGGGATCTGGGGCAAAATCAGTACTTGGTCCTGCTCAGGACCGGCTCTAGGATTTTTGCCGCCCAAAGCAAAAACAATTTTGGCCGCCCCCCCCCCCGCTTATTTAATTACCCCACCCCCGGCCCCGCCTCAACTCTGCCTCTTTCCCAAATCCCTAGCCCTGCCCTCCCCCCCCCAGGCTCTCAAGCCTAGGAGGGAGGCAGGGAGGGAGG